CTGATACTAGTTAAATGATGTAATACTAGCAATTTTTTGTAGTGAATATATAATATATCTTGGTGTAGTGTTGGTGTTATGATTGGAGATGATTAAAATTTTTGTACACCCAAACACCAATTTGATGTAATTTTAACATTAAATTTAGTGTTATGGTTGGAGATGTTTTAGTAAAACAAGAGAAGGATGATCCTTTCGTTTATGTTTTTTTTTGAAAATTTCCTTTCGTTTATGTTTATTGTCGAACGTTTATACTGTCGCTGGTCTGTGGAAAGAAGCAGAGGTGACGAGAGAAGTTATGAATATGATTGAAGATGTGAAGAAACTAGGTTGTAGCTGGATAAGATTTTGATCGAGTTTCGTTTATCCTTGTTAAAAGTTGGGTGATAACCCGTCGACCCAGTTTAATAATTTATATAATGTTGGATTTAAATGATCAGTATATTATCTTTTAGTAGTGAAAATAATAATAAAAGTTGTGGGCGGATAATATAGTGTATTTATTAAACAATGTTTTCGAAAAGAAAAAAACACAATCATTAGACTCTTCTGGTAAATGCAGAGTGTGGGGATGATGATCATCGGTAGTAAAAGAAAGAGGAGATGCACAAAATGCAACGTTTCACCTATCTGACAATCCACTGGCATGAACATAACCAAATCAGTGTCGGGTCCACTTGTCTCTCACCAGACACCGCAGTATCCATTACCTAGAATATAGTATAATTCTCATTTCATTTAAAATGTTCTTATTTTATCTACTCAACTCTGATTTTTTTACAAATGTTTTTCAATATCTCTTATATATTAAAAGAAAAACATTCTTTATACACTAAAAGAGAAATATTGTATTAAATGCGTTCACACCATAACTGACACATCTCGATTTCACAATCATTTAACAATTAATACGTTCACACACTATTTTTTAATTAATTCATTTTTCTTACATTTTTAATCTTTTTGTTAATAAATTAAAATTTTTCTACGTGAAACTAATGAATAATATCTTTATTATAAAAAAAATTACAAAACTATTAAGATTCACATCAACTAAAATGTTACGATGAAAATATTTGTAGAAATTGAAAGTTTGGTAACTTGTCGAAGTTGGTCATGGTTGAGGTTTCGCTACATAATAACAACAAATAAGGTGATTGATTATGAATTAAAGAATCTGGGGTGAAAACACCATACGTAACGTCGGATCTTTAGTTTAGTCAAATATTAACATTTTTATAAAGTTTTCATATCAGACCAATAATTAGAAACAAAATCAAATTGGTAGAAAAAAATCAGAAATCAGAAAAGTTTTTAAAATAAATAAAAATCACAAAATTGACTAAAAACAGAATTTAGGTACCAAGTGAAGATGCCACTTTGTAATATATATTGTTTTTCTTGTTTACCGGTACAATTTGATTTTCTTCATATGAAAAAATGTTATTAATTTCTAGGTTGGTTTTATTTTTACTTAATTTTATTTAAGAATTTATTATCATGTGTTATTTTGAACAAAAATGTTTTAAATCTTAATTAACAGTATATTCATATATTTATTATCACATTTATATACTTTTACATATATATACATGTACATATTGACATGAACGACTATATAACTAAATATTCACCACAATTGAGAATTTTAATTCTTATTGAAGTTGATTTTTTTATAATGTTTTCTTTCTCTATCGCTCAAATTGTAGTGAAATGTTTTATGTTAATAATTTTATTTTATTTGTTTTCTTCAAATATTATTTAGATTTTATTTAAATCTACATATCTTTAGAAATTATAATATGAAACTATTGGTTCGACATAAAAAATGTCTAAATTTTACATAAAACGAAACCAAACAAATAACAATAGTTTTTGATCATCATCGAAAAAATCAAAAACATCAAACATTTAAACCAAACAAAAAAAAAATATAAATTTAGAATGATAATTATATCTTAGGGGATTAAATATTTAAAAACTATTTTAATTTATTTTATTTTATTTTAAATATTTATATATATTTATTAAAATTCTAAACCCTACCTTTCAAATCACACCTATCAAATCTAAACTCTAAGTCTTGATTAGTTAACACTATGGTTATAAATATCTATTTACCTCTTTAAAATTAAAGGTAAATATAGTTAAGATAAATATGAAAAAGAGTAATAAGAAAGTACTAATTTTGACAATTTATTTTATTAACAAATATTTAAATAAAAAGGATAGCTGCTATATAAATTGCTAACAAAATTTTATTATTGATAATTATTTAATTATACATATTTCAATCACATTAAGTAATTACATATCTTTTAATTACAGAAATAGGAGAGGATAGCTTGTTTAGATTAATATAAAAATTTATAGTTAATTTGATAAAATTATAATTGTTATTTAGAAAACAAACTTATTTTTCTAAGGAATCTCAAAATATTTCTCTTTCAAATAGAAGGAATTTCGTATTTACATAATATTCTCATTCATTAAAGTATAAGTAAAATAGAATGAGATAATAATATGAAAAACAGTACTCCCTCTGTTTCATTATAAGTGTCACTCAACAGCTATGCACACGGATTAAGGAAACAATTAATTTTTACATATTTTCTATATAAAAACACAATTACCCATACACCTAACCATATTTTAACCAATAGAAAAAGAAATTACATAGGGTCCGATTGGTTGCAGCTGTAGATTTATATTTTGGCTGTAGAATTTTTGCTGTAGGATTTTGTGCTGTAGCTGTAAGATTTTTAGCTGTGAATTTCCAAAGAAAGTATGATTGGTTAATATTAACATTGTACATATATATTAAAATTAAAATTTATTATATTAACATTAAAATAAATAATAATATCTTAAAATTAGAATTTCTAAATTGATTAATTATTGTATAAAATGTATAATGATTATGATATAAATTAAAATATCAAATTTTTATTTATATATATGTATGTGAAATTTTTATTTATATACCGTTTATATGTATACATATCATTTGAAAGATTTTTGTAAATTATATATGTAAGATATATATAATTATATTATATTAATAAAATATATTACTATATGTGAAAAGAGGTGTACGTACTTTTATAGAAAAGTGGAAAAATATTTTCAAAAGCAGTTGAGAGAGTGCTCTAGAAAATTAGCTCTCTACAGCCATAAAATAAAAGAAAAAACAAATATGGCTGTGAGATTAAAAAAATTAACCAAAGCTTGATTGCTTTTGTTTTAGTGCTGTGGAGAGATTTGAAGCTGTGCACAACACACACAGCTTTGTCCAATCACCCTCAATGGGTCTGATTGGTAATGTATGTAGCTTTAAAATTTTTCCTGTAGAAAAAGAATCTGTAGACTTTTTGCTGTGGCTTTAGATTAAATTGCTGTAGATTTTTTGGAAAGCACTAAAAAATTGCTTTGGATATTTGGCTCTGCAGAGCACTTGTATAGCTGTAGGTTATTTTAAGAGCTGTGGTTTCAAAAAAAAATTTAAAGCTTGATTGCTCTGAATTTAGTGCTGTAGAAATAAAAAGAGCTGTGGACAGCATCTACAGCAACTACCAATCACCCCCATAATAAAATTAATAAATTTTTCATTGAAAACCGAAAACGACACTTATTTTGTAACGCAAAAAATTCTCTACAATGACACTTAATATGAAACTAGATCTCGACCCGCACAACCGTGCGGGTATTTTAATACGAAAATATTTAAAATTATATAATATTCACTCCGTTTTAAATATATGATGTTTTAAAAGATTTATATTATTTCAAAATATAATATTTTTTGAGATTTTAAGGTATATTTTGAGGTTTTAAAGTTATCTTTAACTTTATTGGAAACTGTTCAACCGAAAAATTTTTACTCTTTTTAATATTTGGTTGAATGATTATAAAATTATATCTTTAAAAATACTTTTGTAAAAGAATGTAAATTTCTTAATTTGTGCAATGATCTAAAACATCATATATTAAGAAACGGAGGGAGTAAAATTTATCAATAAATAAATAGAATTTGATTGTATATACTATCCAATGATCATAAATAATATTTATGTGGCTTATAATAATATTAATTTTAAATTTATAAATTTTTATTTTTGTAACAATTTTTTAAAAACTTTATTATGTAACGTTACTAATTTATATATACTGTTTTATTTCTAAATTTTAAATATATATAAAAATTAAATTAAATTGGACTTACATAATACATAAACAAAATTTTGTGATATTGTTAAAAGTATATTACAGTTTTATTTTTTTGTTTATAAATAAAAAAGGAACTAAAATTTTAATTATACTCTATGATAATTAAATTTTTAATCAAGTAATTTTTGAAACTACATCTTGAAAAGATTCTATAAGATTTTAAGAAGATTTTGTAAAATAATGTAAATTTCTTAATTTTTTTGCAATGATCCAAAACATCATATATTAAGAAATGGAGGGAGTAAAATTTATCGATAAATAAAATAATTTGATTGTATATACTATCCAATGATCATAAATAATATTTATGTGGCTTATAATAATATTAATTTAAAATTCATAAATCTTTATTTTTGTAACAATTTTTTAAAAACATTATTATGTAACATTACTAATTTATATATTTTGTTTTATTTCTAAATTTTAAATATATATAAAAAGTAAATTAAATTGGACTTACATAATACATAAACAAATTTTTGGGATATTGTTAAAAGTATATTACATAGTTTTAATTTTTTGTTTATAAATAAAAATGAATTAAAATTTTAATTATATTCTATGATAATTAAATTTTTAATCAAGTAATTTTTGAAACTATATCTTGAAAAGATTCTATAAGATTTTTAAAAGATTTTGTTAGAATTTTCTTAATATTATTTATTTGTATTTCAAATAAAAATTAAAGATATGAAAAGATAGTATAATGATGTTATGTAAAATGTTATTAAATTTCTAAGGATGGTCTAAACTAAAAAATCATACATGAAGTGAGTCATGACTTCTCTTTTAATATAATAGATGGAGGGAGTATAAGTTTTTTTTCCTATACCAAAAATTGAATAGACCAAAAACTCACACAAACCAAGAACCTTGAATCCTTCTTCGTCATGTTTCAAAAACAGCCGTCATTAATAAAATTAATCATAAGGTTTAATTAATCAAAAATTAAAATTCTAATAATCAGGCATCGATTGACTAATCTTTCCTTCTTCCTCAGCCATCTTCTTCTCACTGATCCTCAACCAAATACAAACACCTGTGAAACTAATCATCAAGCTCACCACTCCACTCCCAAGCCCTATCCCAACGATCGCCATCACCGATAAACCCTTGCTCTTCATCATCTCCTGCAACGGATAACCATACAACCCTCTGTTCCCCACGAACGAGCTCGCGTTAAACCTCGGAAAACTCCCTGTCCTGTTCGACAAGTATGTCGGAATCTGACCAGAGAGTTTGTTGTTCGACACATCGAACGCAGACAGCCTCGCCAAGAGTCCTAGCTGCTGAGGGATCGGACCGGAGAGGAGGTTATCGTGAAGATCGATGACGTTAAGGTACGCGCATAGAGCTAACTGCGGAGGGATAACGCCGGAGAGACGGTTTGACGAGAGGTTAAGCACGGCGAGGTTGACGAGAAACTGAATCTCCGGCGGTATTTCGCCGGAGATTTGGTTTGAGGATAGGTCTAAGGACTGGAGGTTGGTGCAGTTGGAGAGAAACGGAGAGATAGAGCCGCGAAGGGAGAGGCTAGTGAGAGAGAGTTTGTAGATTCGGCCATTGTTACAGGTGGCACCGGGGAGATAAGAGGTGAAGCCGGAGCAAGGGTTGGAGAAGACGGAGTTCGTCCAGTTCCGGAGATTTCTCGCTGGATCTTCTAAGTTTTGTCGGAGATTCTTTAAACACGCCTCGTCATTTGGATCAGCGGAAGTTGAACGAAGTGCCGTTTCGAAAGCTAGAAGAAGGAGGAGTAACCGGTATCTAAACCGGGGACTAAACCGGTGACTCCTCGCCATCGATAATCTCTCTCTATGTCTCTATCTCCGTCGCCTTTCAGACAGAATTCACGGAGACTGAAAAAGAAAGTGCAACAAAAAAGGAACGGTAAGGGCGCGTGTTAGCAAAGTGTGCGTAAGGTAAGGGGTGGATAATTAATTGTGAGATTAAATTGAAGTAGATTATATGTTGGGTCTGAGGTGTCTGCTTTTTTCAACTTTAATTATTCTATTAATGTGTATTTCAAACTACACACTCATGCTTAGATATTAATCATGCCATCCATCTTCTTTTACATAGTGTGGAGATCTGATTAGCAGAGACTATTATTCATGAGTTTTAGACGGGTTCTTGGTCTTCTTAGTAAAGTCTATTGTTAAAAAACTGAGAATGAAAATGTAGGTTTAAAATCAATATAGAATGGAGTGGACTGTCTATTTTCTTACAACAAGTTGGAGTGTATCTATCGTGTGATAGATTAAAAAAATTTTGAGTTATGACAGCCGAAATCGGTTGAAAAGGGAATGTCATGACAACCATTCACTGATTTTTTTTTCTTTTGGATATTATGTTTTCGGTGTTCGAAAAAAAAAGATATTATGTTTTCTTTCGTTCCATAATTTCGAACCATGTGTAGAGAGACTAGAGTTATGGCATTGCGAGTTGAAAAATTAAAATTGCCACTGAGCAATTTCAAAAATTGGTTCTTAATGGTCCTTAGTGCTTTACACTGTTTCACTTTTCATTAACATGTTCAATGTTTTCAATGATATTCAACGCCATTAATAGGTGAAAAGTCTGTAGAAAAAGCTATTTGTATATATTTTTTTTTTAGCTATTTGTATATTCAAATTTCAAAGGTTGACATTTACACAATTTAGAAAACAATTTAGTGTAAAAAGAAATATTACTGAAGCATATCAATAGATTAATATTTGTTGAAGGTTTAATAAGACATACAGATCACTATTTTTACATCACATAAACTATTTGATTATTGTATTTATAAAAAATTAAAATATGATAAATATTTAGAATATTAGCCGATAAACCTATAAATAAAATCCATGTACAAAAAAATAAAAACAAATACCCATGCGATGATAAATACTTAAAATATTTAAAATATTAACTGATAAATATGTAAATAATATCCATACATATAAAAATAAAAATAAATACCCTCACGGGTGCGCAGATCAAAATCTAGTATGCATTTAAATTTTGGGATATGCTCTCTTTAAAAGCCACGTGCATGATGCATGGATGCATGCATGAATGTGCGCATGTTCGTTGAACATTTATTTCAATTAACATAAAGCTTTTACAAAAAAAAATTAAAGCGAAGAACATCACCAAAAAGATCTTTATTTTAAAATTTACAAAATTCTATATTTGAAGTTTAAATGTATTATGCAACAAAAGCGAAACTTCAAATCTAACTTCAAAACTATATGTATTTTATATTATGGTCCCTATATTTGTCATAACTAATACAAACTCACATAATTTTTATAAATAATTAAACATATATAAAATATTAGAGCAATATTATTTGATAAAATGTTATGTTAAAATATAAAATTATAAATAGAAACATATAATTAAATATTAAAATACAAAAAAATACCACATTAGGTCTTGTAATATTGTTGTTGTATAGTTCTAGTTTTAAAATATTTTAAATCTTACCTTGATATATTTTTAAACAATTATGTAAAATTTAAATTTATAAAAATAATTTTGAAATATTTATGAGATAAGAATTTTGAAGGATTAAAAAGATAAACAACAAAATATTTAAGAATTATAAATATGATATGTAATTGTAAGGACAAAAATGCAAATAAAATATGAAAGTTTAAATTTGAAGTTTTGAATAGTGACACACTCTATATTTGAAGTTTCACTACTTAAAATGTCAATGTGAGTGACCCCATCGAGAGTGCAGCAAGAAGGCAAAGGGTCCTGGATGGTGAAACTCACAACCTAATGGCAAAAACTGCAGCCACTATGCTAGCTCAAGCTCTCAACAATGGCAATGCCAATGGCAGCAACAATGCTTTCTATAACGCACTGGAAACAAATGAGGAGTTGAGGATCCAATCCTCACCAACAGAGCAGGAGCCTGTCGACATCCCTGCGGCTATAGAACCGCCACAAAAAAGAAAGAGAGGCAGACCCCAGGAAAACTACCTCGACGACAAAAGCCCCAAAACTGAATGGTACTGGGTCAAAAAAGAGGAACATACAAGCTATTCAGAATTCACCACGAGTTAGGCATTCTTACTCCTCTCAAAGCTTGAAGACGAGACAAGGGGAACGGAAAAAAGCTACACAAAAGAGGAAGCCCTCAATTCCAAAACCACCGACTTCGTCAATCCCTGGTATGGGAGAAGTGGGGGAATCTTCAAAGGCTGGAAAGGCAAGGAATGGCAATGGACTGGAGCCAAACCAGAAGAAGGCGGACTTTCAGAAACCGCTCAGCTCTCTTCCTTAAAGATTTTGAGTTGGAACTGTTGTGGGTTGGGGAATCTCATAACAGTTCAGCGGTTGAAGGATCTCAAAAAAGAATTTGATCCGGATATTCTCTTCATCATGGAAACAAAAAATCCCCAGGCGTTTGTTGAGGACAAGCTGTTTCCCCTTAACTACGCCTCTTCTATCCACGTAGAGCCTCATAGTCCGGGAGCAGGAGGCCTCTCTTTGCTTTGGAACCCAGTTGTAACCGTGAATGTACTATCTACTTGTGATAATTACATTGATGTTGAGGTTTCCTATAAAAAGAAAAAAATTCTTCACAACTTTTACTTATGGCGCTCCAGAGTTACAGCACATACGACAAATCCTCCATCAACTCACTGACTTGGGATTATCGCGAACCCAACCATGGTTCCTCACTGGCGACTTCAACGAAATTATCAATAACAGTGAAAAGGAAGGAGGTACAATACGCACAGAAAGATCTTTTGTTAATTTTAGGACTTTTATGTCCCAATGTGACCTTTTTTGATCTGCGGCACTCCGGGAATTTCTTCTCGTGGCGAGGTACCAGATATGAGCACACTGTCCACTGCCGCCTTAACCGTGCACTCTCCAATAGTACTTGGGCAGAGGAGTTTCCCACAGGGAGATGCTCGTATCTGGAGTTCGAAGGTTCAGACCACCGGCCCCTCGTTTCCTACTTTGAGCCAGATTCAAAAAAGAGACGAGGTTTATTTTGGTATGATTGGAAACTATGCAAAAATGAGGAGGTCAAACAGCTCATTGGAGAAGCCTGGAACAAACACCACCATTCACCGGTAGAAATAAAAATAACCACCTGTAGACAAGCCATATCGAAATGGAATAAGAAGCACCATGAAAATAGCCAACTCAAAATAAAGGAGCAGAAGATGAAACTTGAGCAAGCGATGTCAAGCAACGATGCAAGTGAAGTTCAAATCGCTGAAATCAACAAAGAAATCAGAAAGGCTTACAAAGAAGAAGAAGACTACTGGAGACAACGAAGCAGAACTCTGTGGTTAGCACTTGGCGATAGAAACTCTGGGTTCTTCCATGCAACAACAAGAGTAAGGCGAGGCATCAAAAAATTCTATGTTATAGAAAATGCTGCAGGGGAAGCTCTCTACGAAGAACCAGAGATTCTGGATGCAATTACAGAATACTTTTCCGCCTTATTCTTCTCCAGTTCTTCCTCCCCGCTGGAAACTGTTGAAGAAGCACTCATTAATAGAATCTCGGACACAACAAAAGCAGAACTAATATCGATCCCTGATGCCAAAGAAATCCGAGATGCACTCTTTTCCATTCACCCGTACAAAGCCCCCGGACCAGATGGATTCTCCTCCGGCTTCTTCAGAACGAACTGGGCAACAGTAGGTCCGACAATCTCAACAGAAATAATTGAATTCTTCAGAGATGGAATCTGGCCGCAGAGTATTAACCTCACCCACATCAGATTGATTCCGAAAATCACATCTCCCAAAGCAGTGGCGGATTACAGGCCAATCGCCCTGTGTAATGTCTATTACAAGATCATATCCAAGCTAATAACAAGACGGTTACAACCAGTTCTGGACTCAATCATCTCCGAGAACCAGTCGGCCTTCATTGCTGGTAGAGTGATCACGGACAACATCATGATAACTCATGAAACCTTACACTTCCTCAAGAGAGAAACACTGCGCCATGGCAGTAAAAACATACATGATCAAAGCTTATGATCGGCTAGAATGGAATTTCATTGAAGCCGTGCTGAAGAAGTTTGGTTTCCATGATACCTTCTGCGGATGGATTATGAGCTGCCTCACGACAGTCCAATACTCAGTGCTGCTGAACAGTGAAGCTCAATGATTGATTACTCCCACTCGGGGGATCCGGTAGGGAGACCCATTATCACCCTTCCTCTTCATCCTATGCAGTGAGGTCTTATCAGGGCTTTGTTCAGCAGCACAACGGAAAGGAACTCTCGCAGGTATCCAGGTTGCGCGAGCCAGCCCAAAGATCAACCATCTACATTTTGCAGATGATACTATCTTCTTTGCAAAGACAACAGAGCAGAGCGTAGCTGCACTGAAGGAGGTGATCCAAAAATACGAAGCAGCGTCAGGTCAAGCCATCAATGTCAACAAATCTGCTATCACTTTCTCAAATAAGACCCCTCCAGAGATAAGAATCAGAGTTAAAAATAGCCTCGGTATCCAGAAAGAAGGAGGTGTCAGGAAATATCTAGGCCTGCCGGAACACTTTGGTCGAAAGAAGCGTGACATGTTTTCATCGATTGTGGATCGTATAAGACAAAAATCTGCAAGCTGGAGATCGCGTCAACTCTCGGCGGGTGGGAAGATGGTTATTCTTCAGTCTGTTTTGGCTGTGACCCCATCCCACTCCATGATGTGCTTCAAGCTACCGAAAAGCCTCACCAACCGAATCCAATCAGCACTAACTCGATTTTTCTAGGATGATAATCTTGAAAAGAAAAAAAGTGTTGGATTGCTTGGTCCAAGCTAGCTAAACC